TTTAAAGTATTTTTGAGCAATTATTAGGTTTTTCTCATCATTATAAAATCGGACAAAATGTATAGTGAGATCTCTGGCTAATAACTCTAGGTATCAGAGTACTCCATTGGGCTAGTCCCGAATGATGTTCCGTCGAGTCTTAGATCGACCCAATAGACATATGTTTCACAGTCTAAAGCAGAAACACATAATTGGCCATATCAAAGCCGCTGAGCTAGAACTTTCGATCATTCGGCTCTCAATAGATTACAGGTGTACCCTTGTGGGACATGATCCAACTCAATTATAGGCGTCCTCTCAAAGCACATGTGCATTGGCTCTTCCAAACCCGAATAGTGCATTTGGAAGAGTGGCTTCCTATACAAAATGAAAATGCACATGTCATGCAATGGTCTCGTGTCAGGATACAAACTTATATCCCATAGTCTTGAATATTCCATACAGGTGAATACTCAATAAGTACTTAGGTTCTATTTTTTTCATTTGGATTCTCCAAGCCCTGGTCGATTGCAGCTAAACATGAGGCTAACCTATAAAATACTGACTAGGAGGTGACTCTCACACCTCCTTGAGAAATCGTTTTCTCAACACGTGAACTCTCGATGCCTCATACGTACTCGGGGTAAAAGAATCTGGGCTCCATTTCATAAGATGCCAAGATTTCAATCTCTCAATCGCTCTCACTGAATGAGAGACTACTGGAATTTTGGCCTTGGTAGGTTATATTTTCAACAAAATTATATACCTTGATAATGAAAGAAGGTGCAAATGTGTCACAACACTTGAATGAGTTTAATAACCTCATTTATCAACTTGAGAGTATTGGTGTGAGAATGGATGATGAAGACAAAGCGGTCACCTTGCTTTGTTCATTGTTGGAATCCTATGACAACCTTGTCACTACATTGAATTATAGTAAGGGGATTCTCTTGATTTAGGCTTGATATTTAGTGCCTTACTTGTCGATGAACTTCGAAAGAAAGCATATTTGAAAAGTTCGGTAGAGTCGAAGACGAAATCTCTTGTAGCAAGAGGGCGATCGAATGAACAGGATGATTCATCGAGGAATCATTCAAGAAGTAATTCAAGATTTCGATCAAAATCTAAAGAGCCCATTAACAAGAATATGTGTTGGCACTGTGGGAAGCCCGTTCATATACGGAATAATTGTTTTAAGAGAAATAGAGTGAATTCTTCCAAAGCTCCTAATGCGGGAGGTGAAAAGCCAAGTGAATCAAAAAATGAAACAAATCAATTTGAAGAGTCTGCATCCAGGTTTATTGAAGATGAAGTATTAATAGTGGCATATAATTCAATATTCTATCAAAATTTGATACTTGATATGAGTCATGTGAATGAGGATCAGTATCCATGAGAATAATTCAACTAGCAAGGTGGTTGGAATGGGTTTGGTTCACCTAAGGATGTTTGATGGGTCTATTCGAGCAATTAAGGATGTTAGGCATGTGTCAGAACTGAAAAAGAGCTTGATCTCCCTCTCTTCTCTAGATTCGAAAGGTTATAAGTTCACCGGTCAAGGTGGAGTTATAAAAGTATCAAAAGGGGCTCTAATTGTGATGAAAGGAGTCCCAGTTGAGAGCTTGTACAAGTTATTGGGAAGCACAATAACAAATGATGAAGTGAATTCTGTAGTTGAAGGTGAGGAAGTTCCATATTGCCTATGGCATAAAAGACTGTGGCATATAAGTGATAAGGGTATGGAGGTCTTGATGAAGAATAATTTTATTCCTACACTTAAAATTGATGGATCTGAAATTTGTGAGCATTGTGTTTGTGAGAAACAACATAGACAACCTTTCAAGGCCGGGAAACATACAAGCAAGCGCAAGCTTGATTACATTCACTCGGATGTGTAGGGCCCTTCACCAAGTACATCTTATGGAGGAGCATTATATTTTATTTCATTTATTGATGACTTCTCAAGAAAAGTATGGATGAAAACTCTCAAGTCCAAAAGTGATGTGTTTTGTGCATTCAAGAATTTTAAAACAAAAGTTGAAAAATCTATGGGGCATCACATCAAAGTTCTTTGCAAGGTCGAGGGAATTACTAAGCATTACACAAATGCTTACAATTCTCAACAAAATGGTATATCAGAGAGGATGAATCACACTTTGATAGAGCGCGCGAGGTGCAAGTTAGGCAATGCCGGCCTAGAGCAAGAATTATGGGCGGAAGCCGTATCAATGGCTTGTTATCTTATCAACCGATCATCTTTGGTAGCATTGGGAAGCGAAACCCCTAATGAGTTTTGGTATGAAACTCGAAGTGACAACTCCGATTTGAAAATTTTTTGTTGTGATCTATATGTACTTATTCAAAGTTGCCAAAAAACCAAGTTGGATCCAAGGTCAAAGAAGTACATCTTTGTGGGTTATAACAAATGTGTGAAAGGGTACCAGTTATGGGATCCAAGTATTCAAAAAATAATCACTAGCCACGATTTGCATTTTGATGAATCCAAGATAATGGCAAAAGGGATGATGATAAATGACAATGGTTAGGAAGTGCAACAAGAGAGCCAAGAATTTCTAGGCAACCCGAAATACTTCCACCAAGTGCAATTATGCCTTATGAGAATATACTCATTGATCATAGTGAAGAGCATGAAGGACTAGGAAGTCAAGATGAAGAACCACATGGTCATCATAATGAAGTTGTGCCTTTGACACAAAGGTGCTCTACTAGAGAAACTCGTGTACTCGGTGGCACAAAGATTATGTGGATCCAAACACTTTACATGCTTTGATAGCTGAAAATGAAGAGTCAACGTCATTCTATGAAGCCATTGATAGCAATGGTACCGAGCATTGGAAAAAGGCAATGGAAGAAGAGATTTTGGCCCTTTAAAGAAATAAGACTTGGGATTTAGTGGAGCTACCAAAAGGTAGAAAGGCTGTTGGTTGTAAATAGGTGTTCATGATAAAAAATGGGCTTGATGGCAAGCTTGAAAGATATATGGCAAGATTGGTGGCAAAATGTTTTTTGCAAAAAGAAGGATGACTTTGATAAAATTTTTGCACCAGTTGTCAAGTTGGTATCAATTCGCTTGGTGCTTGGGTTAGTTGCTATGCATGATTTAGAGCTTGAGCAAATGGATGTGAATACGACTTTTTTACATGGAGAACTTGAAGAGGAAGTGTAAATGCAACAAACTGGAAGGCTTCATAGAGAATGACAAAGAAGGACTTGTGTGCAAATTGAAGAAGTCCTTGTATGGGCTCAAGCAAGCATCAAGACAATGATATAAAACATTTGATATGTTCATGTTGAGCCTTGGGTACACAAGAAGTAAGTATGACCATTGCTTCTATTTAAAGTTCTTTGATGATGGTACATACTTGATTTTAGTCTTATATGTGGATGACATGCTTTTGGTGTGCAAAGATAAGGCAAAAATTGATGAGCTCAATACTTCGTTGAGCAAAAGATTTGAGATGAAGGATCTCGGGCTTGCAAGGCAAATCCTTGGGATTAAAATTGAAATTGATAGACAAATTTTGTCATTATCTCAAAAAGGTTACATAGAAAGGGTGCTTGAAAAAATTGGCATGAAAGATGCAAAGCCAGTGAAGACACCCTTAGCGCCTCACTTCAAATTGTCTTCGATGCAAAGTCCGAAGACGAAAGAAGAAAGAAGAAGCATGGCTAAGGTTCCTTATGCAATGTGATTGGAAGTTTAATATTTACCATGTATGTACAAGACCGGATATCGTGCATGCGGTTGGTGTTTTAAGTCGGTTTATGGTAAACCATGAAACCGTTCATTGGGAAACAACAAAATGGGTGCTTCGGTACTTAAGAGGTACAACTAATTATGCAATCACATTTGAAAATGGCCCAACCCAAATGCAAGGTTTTATACATGCAAATTTTGTCGGTGATCTTGATAGAGGTAGGTCGACTACCGTATTTATTTTTCGATTTGCAAATGGACTGGTAAGTTGGATGTCAAGGCTTCAAGACACGGTAGCATTGTCAACTATCGGGGGTGAGTACATGGCGGTAACGGAAGCATCAAAAGAAGTCATGTGGCTTCAAGGGTTGATAGGTGAGATGAGCATTATGTGCATGCTTATGAAACTATTTTGTGACAATATGAGTGTTGTCCATTTGACCAAGACCCCGGTTCATCACAAGAGGTCAAGGCACATATTGGTTCAATATCACTATATCCGTCAAATTGTTGAAGAAGGAGTTCGATTGGTCAAGATCAAGACCGAAGACAACTTTGTTGATATGCTTATCCATCCAAGTAAAGAAGTTAGAATGGAGTCTAACCTCTCTAGGTTTCAAGAAATAAATGAAGAAATGGATTGGCAATGCAAGGGTGTGATTTTGCATCAAGGTGAAGATTGTTGGGGCGTGATGCTAAATCACCCCCTTATAGTATTCACCCTTTTGATAAAAGGCATTTTCATCAAGAAAATATATTTTTTTTGTAAATGTCTTTTGAAAGGGTTATATAAAGAGAGAAAAATGTGAGCGAATGTGGTAAGGAAGGAAACTTGTAGAGAGAGAAGTTTGGGGTTGAAAATTGAGGGTTTTTGCAACAAAACCCTAACGCCACCATTTGGGGCTCATCTATAGTCTTTTTATCGCCATTTCTTCGCGGCATCGGTGAATTAAAAAAAAAGAGTCGATTGTAAGTGGTTTTAAAGTAAGAAGTAATTTGTTTGAATATTCATTGAGATCGTATGAGGTAACTCTGTATAACCCCAATCTTGTAATTTTTCCCTCTTGATAGTGAATACACATTTGCCATTTTGCTTGTGGACGTATCCCATTTTGGGTGAATCACTTATATGTGTTCCTCTCTATTTCTATTTGTGTTGTACTTTGAAATTTTTCATATTGTTTGATTTATTGTTATTATATTTTTTTCTAATTATATTTCCCTTTTTATTGCATTTTGGGCATTTTATTTGAGCGACCAAATGGGATTTGAGATATCCCAATTTGCTTTAAAGATGGGATGGGGTTTTCCCGGCTTTTCATCATGAGCTCCTGCGATTCAAATTCAAAACCGGTTCTCGTGTGAGTGAGCTCTGCAACACCGTGCCTAACCTCCAAGCTTTTCATGGAAATCGTCACAAAAATAAGGCCCTATGATAATACCCACCCTCTGTACCCGATCAAACGATCTTCTCCGTCACCCTTTCTCTCTCAAGAGCTCCTTTCTTCAACCTTTTCTCTCTCTACACACTCGCCTGCTTCTTCCTGATGCGAAGAGCACTAACAACTCAAAACCCAATCTTATTCTCTCTCATCCTCTTCTATCACTCATAGAGAGATGCACAACCATGAATCAACTTAAGCAAATTCAGTCACAAATGATCATTACTGGCCTAATTGCAGATGGGTTCGCATCGAGCCGGCTTGTGGCCTTTTGTTCTCTCTCTAGAAACCTGGATCATTGTAGAGCTATCTTAAATACAATTGAGAAACCCAATCTCTTCACTTTGAACATTGCTATACGGGGCTATTCATCTAGCCATGAACCCAATCAAGCAATTCTTCTTTACAAGCAAATGCTTGAAGAAGAGACAGTGCCCGATAACTATACTTTTCCCTTTGTTCTTAAGGCCTGTGCTCAGTTGCTTGATTCAGAGGCCGGGAAAGGGATTCATGGTCATGTTTTGAAGTTGGGTTTTGACAGAGATATCTTTGTTTGCAATGCTCTGATACACTTGAATGCCATCTGCGGAGAACTTGACGTTGCACGCAAGTTGTTCGACAAAAGTATTTGTAGAGACTTGGTTTCTTGGAATTCTATGATTAATGGCTATGTTAGAGGAGGGTTCTTAAATGAAGCCATCGAGTTGTTTAGAGAAATGGGGCTTCAGAATATGAAACCCGATGAGGTGACCATGATTGCCATGGTCTCGGCCTCTCGTCAATTGGGTGACTTAGAGCTTGGACAATCTTTTCATGACTTCATAAATAAAAAAGGTATAAGAATGACAGTGCCCCTGACCAATGCTTTGATAGATATGTATGCTAAATGTTGCTGTTTAGAGGTGGCTCAAAGACTATTTAATGAGATGCCTAAGAGAACCATAATTTCATGGACCACAATGATCGCAAGCTATGCTAGAGTGGGCATGATGGAACAGGCTCGAGAGTTATTGGATGCGATGCCTGAAAAAGATGTGGTGCCTTGGAATGCTATGCTCTTAGGGTACTCACAGGGGAGGAGAGAGAAAGAGGCTTTCTCTCTTTTCCATGAAATGCAAGCATCGGGTGTCAAGCCTGATGAGGTGACCATGGCGACCTTGCTTTCGGCTTGTGCACAATTGGGTGCCCTTGAAATAGGGCGATGGATCCACAATTACATTGACAGAAACAAGATGGTTTATAGTGTTGCATTAGGGACTTCACTAGTAGACATGTACGCAAAATGTGGGAGCATTAAAGAATCGATTTGTGTCTTTCGTAAATTGCCCGAGAAGAATGCTCTTACATGGACAGCTATGATTGTTGGTCTAGCGACCAATGGCCATGGCCAAGAGGCCATCTCTCACTTTTCTATGATGGTTAATCTAGGATTGAAACCAGATGACATTACCTTTGTTGGGGTACTATCGGCTTGTTGCCATGGAGGATTAGTGGATTCAGGCCATAAATATTTCAAAGAAATGGATTCGAAATATGGTTTGGTTCCTAAGCTTAAGCATTACTCATGCATGGTTGATCTTCTTGGAAGGTCTGGCCTTTTGAGAGAGGCTGAAAGGTTTTTAGAGAACATGCCTATAAAGCCTGATGCTGTGGTTTTGGGGGCCTTGTTTTTTGCTTGTAGGATTCATGGTAGCATAGAGGTGGGTGAAAGGATAGCAAAGAGGTTGCTTGAATTGGACCCTCATGATTGTGGAATATATGTGCTGCTATCCAATATGTATGCTGAGGCAAACATGTGGGATTGTGTCACAAGAGTTAGGAGAATGATGAGAGAAAGGGGGATTGAGAAGACCCCTGGTTGTAGTTTGATAGAGGTGAATGGAAATGTACATGAGTTTCTTGTGAAGGACAAGTCTCACCCTAGAGCTAAAGAAATATATGTTTGCTTGAATGGATTGGCAAGACAATTAAGGATGGCTGGCTATGTGCCCCAAACTGGCTTTGTAAATTAATTGAATTGATAAATTCAAATAAATTAATTTTGACAATCTCTAGGGAGAGGGAACTTGGGAAGGTTATATTTTGCTTGCAACCTTTCTTTTAGATGCCTTTATGTCGGTATAAGAGCTCTCTCAGGGTGTACTTTTGGCTATCTTCTCTGGGGCACAATCTTCACCAAGGCACATAAGAATAACTTAAATCATAAAACAACTATACTACAATCCATCTATTCATGGAACAATATGTTCACAGGGTCATCACCATCACATGAACAGGTCATACAATGGCTGAGTGGGTCTCACTGTTTGTTCAAAATGTGGATCAATAAAGAAAGAGAATACCGTAAAGGATTCACACATTAAACAACGAAATTTTATCCCTTTAGGGATTTATATTATGTTTGGTGAACCACCTGGCAAGTTATCTGCAGACACCCTGTTAATTAGCTCTGTTGAAATAGAACATCGTTCATTGATGATTGCTTTTTTGGAATAGAAAATAAAGAAAATGCAATTACATCAAGAAGATCAAAGTAGAATAAGTGGGCAAATAGAGCCATCATCCTATTATACCTGACCTTGAAAGAAAAGTCTCTCTAGTGAACTACCGCTCCTGAAATATAATATCCCTTTCGTCACCTTGTTCTATACAGTGCTCTTGCTTATTCTCACTCACTTAACTCCTATTGATACCTGAGATTGAGCTCAGCGTTCGGGACCTAGTTTAAGCGGTTTCATCATTTTAGATCATAGTAGGGCTCCTAATCATCTCTAGGGACCCTTTGATACAATGTAGCACCCCCTCAATATCCAAATAGACCATATCAACACCTTATCCTGCCTATAGGATTCATCCTAGGAAAAGTCACTCATATTCACATCATGCATATTTTATATTATATTGAATCGAAAGACCTTTCCAATGGTCCACGAATTACTCAATTCTAATGTACGGTTTGAGAATTGTGGACAAGAAGATAAACAATATCTAAAATAACCATACTGTCCTATGCGAAAAACAACTTACTTAATTCCAGATCAGCCCTCTACGCATTTTCTATGGCAAATCTACTCGGGTTTGGATTCCTAATCCCACATCTTTTAATTCCTAAAATATCTAGCCTCCAAACTCTATAAATACGTGTTCCCCTACATATTGAAGCATCCAAAAAACTCTTAGAGACTCTTAGAACTCTACGAGTCTCTAGGAAATGTTCATGGGGCTGTATAAAGATAGTTCCTAGAACTCTAGGAGGTCCCTAGACTCATTTAGAAGAAGAGAAAAACTTTAGATAGATACCCTTACCTTAGGACCGGGAAGCTCTAGATACCATAGCCTTAGGATTAGGAAGCCCTAGATCAGCCCAAGCCCTTGATCAAGATCCAAACCCAAATCTAATCCTAGGAACCCTGTATTTAACCCCAGATCTGACACTCAACAAGTTTATTGGTATGCATTCACTCCATCGACTTTGATTTTAGGGTTATTCGCACCACGCGGCATTGGCAGCCATGCATTTAGTTCTGATTCATAAGTCTGAATCCCAAGTACTTTTCTGATTCGTAAGTCTTAATCCCAAGTACTTTTTTTACTTTTTACACTTCTTTTCAATTATTTTATTCGTTTTCTTTTATTTAACTCCCATTGTTTTTTTCCTTGACTTTCTTTACTTTTTACACTTGTTTTCAATTATTTTGTTCGTTTTATTTTATTTAATTCCCATTGTTTTCTTCCTTGACTTTCTTATTTGAGTCCCATTTCAGTTAATTTTTTTTGAAAACTTTAGATCATGGTCTATGTGGTGCGCTAAGGGTAGTAGTACACCAATGTACTTTCGGTATAACCCTTTTATTTACCTTCCGAGTCATTTTATTGTCATTTTGAAACATGTAACTCATCTCTCCCATTGTTTCTTTACCTTCCAAGTCCTTTTTTACTGTTATTTTGAAAAATGTAACTCATTTCTACAAGTCACCACAGTTGGGGGTGGAAGCAAGTGAAAGCACTTTGGCATCCACCGCGGTGCTCAATGAGTTTTAAAATTTTCAAAACCTTTACCAGGATTGGAGTGACAAGAAGCATGCACGTTACACGTGGACCCAATCGGCTACTGACGTAGGACTATTGGATTGTCGTTGCCTTTGCCTGGAAACTGTTCGAGCAAATTAAGGACCGTCCAGCCCTACTTCCAGGCGACCCAAAACTGGTTGGATTTGGGCCGTATGCGGCCAAAAAAAAATAATAAAGTGCCTGCATGTGGCACATCATGCAATTAACATTCCGCAACATTAATGGCGTTTGTAGCCTGCGTGATATCTTTGGAACTTTGAGCATACGTTGTTACCCGTTGGTTTGCCCGAAATGTTCTTTTGCAAGATTTTAAGAGAAAATTGATTCAGATGAAGATAAAATAGGAGAAGACACAAATCAGGAAAATCGAATTCACTCTAAATCAGTCGGGATCAAGAGCTTTCCATTAAAATTGGAGTTCCAGAGGAGTACCAAGGGACCTTCCCTTGTTTTATTTGCATTTAGGTTTGGTTTGGCAAAACCCAAAACATCTTTGATCAGTGGACCACAATGCAGAAGAGGAGTCGAACTGACAAGATCCGAAGTTCACCTAGTCATTCAGGTACACATGGCTTTTCCCAATGCTTCTTCTTGAAGTCAAGCTTTGTGCAATCTTCTCTGATGGATTTGATTCGTGCAGCACGACTTGTTCTCTCTCTCTCTCTCTCTCTCTCCTAGGGCTCACTTTGTTCCAAAATAAGTTCTGTAAAGGTCCCCTCTCTCATTAATCAAAGTGCTTTTGTAGACTTTAAGGAGAGTTAAACACCCCTTGATCATTTGTTGATCTTGCGCGGTTCATCTTTTACTTTATAGTTGATTATTAATTTAGAGATATTTGGTTGGTTATAAGTCGATCCCATTTGCATTTGAATTGTTTAGTATTCAAATTCAAATCTCAACAATTTTCACCTAAGTTCTACAGTGTTGTGACACCTTCATTTGTGCCTAGATCACTTTTTAATGGGTGTTGTTTTGACCTGAATCTCCTTGCTGAATGATATACTACAATCTGAAGAGCATTATGATCGAATTTTAGAACCATCTAAGTTGATTTGAATCAAATATGATAGTTTTGAAGTTACATCATGGTTCCGGTTGGATGGAACACTATGGTCTCTTTCCTCAATTGCAATCTTCCCATAATTTTCTTGACTGCCACATATTCCCCATCCATCTAGAACTGATGATGTTGATTTTATCCATACTTATCCTAAAAATTTGGTTGCTTGGAGAAGGTAAAAGACAAATTTTCTATAAAACCGCAGTGAAAACATGGTTTGAAGGTCAAGCGCATTCAAATTCGAATGTTATTGATCGAACCTTGTCCAAATACTTCCAAGGCTCTTAAGAGTCTATCTTCTAGGTCATTGGAGAACAGTACAATTGAATTTGAATATTGCCATGGTTTTCAGGTTCTTACAAATTTTATAAATATTTTCAGATTCTTACAAGACCTTAGTTTCTTGCCTTTCCCTTTTTATGCTTCTAGCACCTTAGGTTCATGATTTTTCCATCATTAAGTTTTGGCAATGGTTCTCTTTATGAACTGATCGATCAAAACCACATTGCCCTCTTTTTTCATCCAATACCCATGAAACTCGAAACAAATGCCTTTTGGAGGTTCTTCTTTGTATTTTTCCTTATCTCCTAACTGTTTTGAGGTTGCCCTGAGCACATATGAACTTTGGATGTTGGTTCCTCTTGAATAAATCCTATGAAAACTCTGTTCAATCTCTTCAATTGCATTTATGATTAGGCATCACAAAACATGCCCAAGCACCCATGTGTGAAGACGATATATCTCATACGGTACATTATATCATAAATGGTAGTGTTGGGCATGTGCACCACAAGGACAAGACCAGGGTACTTCGAGCCTGTGTGCCATAATATAAGGTGCAGGGGACTTCTCTTCGGCAACATGGACAAACCTCCTCAAGTCTTCCCCAAGGAGGCGACTTCCCATGTTGCAGTTAACATATGCACATGTCATGGGGTAGTAGTATTTGGGCTTTGTCCTCACAGGCCCCCAATGTTCTCCAAGATATCTTTGAACTCAACGAGAAGAACCCAAATCCTCTTTAAAACGAGCCTTCTCAGTCCCTATATCCATGGTTCTATGTTTTTGTGACTCTAAAGACCTTTCTAGGCCCTAGACTACCTGGCCCCAGGAGTCACAGCAGTTGATTCTTACTCTCCTGATTTGGATGGCTTAGCCACATCCTCAATCCCCATGAGGATCCTGCTCATACTGGAGTCAATCACTCAGTCAATCCCCGCGGTGATCCTGCTCTACTAGAGCCAAGCAATCCACTAATCAAAATAGTCTTGAGTACGAGGGTGTCATGGCCTTGAAAGGTCACATATATCTATATGAGTCCCAAAGCTTAAGAAAATGAGTAACCACATGGTCCTCGATGGGAGTCCTCCAAAAGCCTCCCTAAAGCACTATCATCATCCCCATCTATCGCAGGAGAGTGCAACACTTCCTCTTTGTAAAGCCATAAGCAGAACTGTTGAACCTCAAGCTCCAATTCGACACTCACAAATGAGTGTCCTGCTCCCTCAACTACTCGATGAGGCAATCTTTCTCTTGAACCCTTTGCCCCAGCTCCTTGATCTCTTCATGAAAGTCATCCGCGATTACGATGGATATAATATGGAAGGTTTAACTCCCTCTTGCCTTCTTTCTTCTTCTCTCTCCCTCCCCCTCCCTCCCTCTCTCTTATAATGAGCAAGTGAGGCTCAAATTTACTCATTATCTCCTTTCTATAAAGGAAAGACCAGCACGCGGCCATGTGCTGGATGCATACGACCGAATACCAACAACTAGTGGCCAATGTACAGTGAATGCAGCAAATAAACAGCCACACGATCAAGGTCCCATAAGCTTCTACGAATGTCCCAATGACCTGAACATGGTTATGATCTAGTGAGACATAGCCACTCGATCGCCCATTAGGAAGCCCTTGAGGGCCTGCTCTCCCTTAGGTTGGCCCCATCATCAGAAATCCAAGTCTTTGATGTTGAGGCGGTCGCAAAGATAATTTGTGAGGCAAGAACATATCCTCAGAATTGGAGGTATCAAAGGGAAAACTCTCATCATATGATAGTTCAAGATCCAGAGTAGGAGAATCAAGAGTAATATCAACCATGATAATAGAGGTTCGCTGCGACGATAGGGCTGAGCACTGTCTCCGTAGGAAGATGAAGTTACGTGTAGGGCTTCAGAATCTCACTTGACATGGCCTCTTGCAGCCCAGAGCAACTTGTGGATGCAGAAATATGCTTAACAAACCTCTTACAGAGGTTGTCTTAGCACACGATGCCACAACTTGCTTTCAAAACCCAACTTCCAAAAACTTTAATTGAATTTTTAAAACCTATTTATGGAACAACTATTCCGAAAATATCACCCCATCTTCAAAACTTTCGATATTGTTATAATATCTGTCTTTAATCACAGCAGGCTCGACAATCTGCTGCTCACTCGGGGATGACATCATACCCAAGGGTCATTTCATTGATTTCCCTTGACCCTATAGCCTAGGAAAATACTAAAGAGGGGCAACTATTGACACCTAAGTTTTGACCAGGCTTTTGGACCAGTTCAAAGGATGTGTTGTTAGAAAATATCCCCAATTTGTGGTCCAACAATAATTATATAAGGGTAATATTATCCACAATTTAAGTGAGTCCATTATCCAATATTAAGATAAAAATTAGTGATAATCATCTTCCCCACTCTCTTTAAAGATAACATGATGGGTTAGATAAAAGAAAGAAACATCATAAGGAAAGGATATAAGTTGACGGTCACTCATTCTCCATAAGGAAATTTCCCGTCAAACTTGGAGGAGAAAAGAGGTGAAGGCCGATCCACTCCTTCAGAGATGAGAACAAGAAGTCATTTTCTTTTATTGTTGGATCATGAAAGGTATGTTTACATCTCCTGTTTTATTCTTGTTTTTCGGTAATCATGAACAACGATCCAAAAAAGATTTACATGTTTTTTTAGGTTCTTGAATCTGTAAATCTGTAGTTTATTTTTACATATGGTATCAGAGTTGTCGTTCTCTTGGTCATGAATACCGAAAACCATAAAGTGTTCATATGAACAATTTTTTTATGATGGTCGACGCAGGGCATTACTTTCTCTCCCTCAATGCGACGTATGCAGAGATTTTAATTTTCACGGCTCTCTCTCTAGCCTTTTTCTCCTTCGTTTTTTGTTTTTACAAACACCTTTTCTGTTCTAGTGTTTTTGTTTTTGCATGAACCTTTTTTTCTTGAACGGTTCAAGATATTCCTTGAGAATTTGTAGGTAATCTAAATATACGTTCACTTAATTAAGAAGAAACTTTTCTCTTGAAGCATGTTTTTTTTGTGAAAGCAAGAACTCTTTTTTACATAAACCTAGCAAGAACTCAACTGTTGTACATAAAGCCTTATTGGACGTTGCACTGCTTACTGGCTCGTTCCTATAAACCTTTCTTTAAACCTTTATTATGCAATTTCTTCATGCCATGACCATCTCCATGTTTCGTTAAGATCATGGCAGTTCAAGATAATTATTCTTCATGCCATGACCATCTCCATGTTTCGTTAAGATCATGGCAGTTCAAGATAATTATTCTTCATGCCATAGACCATCTCCGTGTTTCGTTAAGATCATGGCAGTTCCAGATAATTATTGCTTATGCCATATACTTTCTCCATGTTTCGTTAAGATCATGGCAGTTCAAGATAATTATATCTAAATAGCATGATATCCCAACCTCATGATGGAACGTCATCAGGCCAAGTAGTAGGAAAGCAATAAACAAATAAATGGGATAAAAGAAGCGAAAATCTATTTAGAGAGAGAGAGTAGTAGAGATTTCTAATAAATTTTTTATTTACTGTTTTTTTGTGTGTGCATATGTGTGCATGATCTCTGGTATCTACATATTTGTATTCATGTGTTTCAGATTGTGCACACTGTGCTTGTTTTGAGCGCAAATTTTTTGGTTGCACAACAGTTATTGTATTGCAGTGTTTATGTTGTGCTGGGAAATCAATAGCCCATGGTTGAGAACATGCAATGATAGCATCTCCTCATGTAGTAGGTTGGTTTTTGCTTCTAGCAATTGTATTGAAGTTTTAATATTTCTCTCTGACATTAGAATTTTGGTCCCTTTTAACTCTATCTTGGAGTTTTCCTTTTTAAATGATTCATGTGTAAAATATAATTTTCTTATATGGTTTCCTCAAGTTATGAGGTATCAATTAGTATTTGGGCGGTACTGATATAAGGTGCCTTATATGTTGGAGTTTTCCTTTTTAAATGATTCATGTGTAAAATATAATTTTCTTATATGGTTTCCTCAAGTTATGAGGCATCAATTAGTATTTGGGCGGTACCGATATAAGGTGCCTTATATGGTGTGTTAATATTTATAAAATGTGAATTTTCATTTGAAAACGGATTGCAAATGTATTTCTGTTATTGTTTATTGTGCAATATTTTGTCTTTTAGGAGACTAAAATTTGCATATAGAAATTTTAAAAAAAGAGGAAGAAAAAGGCCAAGTTAAATTGGTTTAGTGATCCTTATTTTAAATCAAACATGTTGGAATGATTGTGTAACCACCAATTTTTGTTTTGATTTGTTTTGACTATACAATTTTTGTTTTGATTCCTAATAATAATTTTTGTTTTGATTTATTTTGACTATACAAAAAAATTGTGTGAATCATCAAGGAACCCACAAATTGGCATTGAACTGTTACAAATAAAAATCGAACCCAAAGGTGGTTTTTTATCTCTACACCTTAGCAAAATAGGGTAGTTGGTGGGAGCGCTGTAAACTTAGATGTCGTTAAACCCAAAGGAGTAACATCTTCGTTATCTATAATGTTTGTGATCATCCAGCCCTATAGTGGACATAAGGATTGATTGTTCACTAACAAGAGACCATTAGTGTGTCACAATCTCGGCCCAAAGTAAAAGTTATGATGATACATCGATTTACTAAAAGGTACTTGATATTAAAATAATAAAATATTAATTACTTAATTTTATGGGTAAATAGAGTTTTGTGAGCATAATTGTTTTAAAATCACGACAGCTCTAAATCCCTCTGCACTTACTGGATGCTTAGCCGGGATTGGAACTCTAAATGGATCTAATTTCTCTGATTGGAAACAAAATATTGAGATCACTCTAGGCATTTTGGATCTTGATTTAATCTTATGTGAAGATGAACCTTCCGAGCCTAACAACGAGATCACTACTAAACAGAAAGCTAAATATGCGAAATGGGAAAGGTCTAACTGATTAGCCTCATGATTATGAAGGTGTCTATCTGTAAGACAATATGAGCTGCTATTCCTGATAAGGATAATGCTAAAAGTTTCATGAGTAAGATACATGAAAAATTTGTAGGTCCCACTAAAGCCATGACACCCTTATGATGCAGTTACTGAGCATGAGGTATGATGCTCGCAACTCTATCCTGGACCATATTATGCAAACGATTGATATTACAATTCAGTTGAAGTCTATGAACATGGATATCTCAAAGGGTTTTCAAGTGCCATTCATTTTCCACTCTTTGCCTGTGTGGTATGATCAATTCAAGCTTACTTGTAATACTTAGAAAGAAAATCGAATTTGAATGAGGTTCAAATTATGTGTGTTCAAGAAGAAGAAAGATTAAATCAAAATAACCTAGAAGTTGCCCATTTAGCAGAGACTAGCTCAGGCAAAAAAGGATCCTTTAAAGCATCAGAAAATAAATGTTATGGAACGCATGCAAATTATCAATCAAAAGGGACTACTCCTTAGATTCAGAAATAAAGTGACCGAAAGGAAAGAAAATGTTTTGTTTTGCAGAAAGAATGGGCATTTGAAGAGAGATTGCTTCAAATATACGAAGTGGTTGGAAAATAAAAGTATCCATCAACAATCAGAGACTCATTGTTGATGGTAAATAGAGTTGAGGAAGAAATGAAGGCGATATAAGTAATTAGGTTAATTCTAGATAGTAGTTTTGTAGTAGATTTGAGAGATACTCTTAATGTGTCACATGTTGGTAAAGTATGAAAATTAGATATTTATGGTTTTAATTTAATTTTGGCAATGAAAATTACTTCTTATTTTATAGTAAGTGTATTGTGGGTTCTGAAAAATTATGTGATGGTCTCTCTAAATTGAATTTGGATTTTATTTGTTTGTTGAATCTCTTTTATCCCTTCATGTATGCAATATAAAACATAACAATGTGATTAATTTATGTTGTAGCATAGAATGCTAGGACACATCCCAAGAGAAAGGCTGCAGAAATTAATCAAATAAGGAACATTGTTTGTAATTCAAATTTGCAGGTTTCTCTACATGGAGCCCTAAAGACTATTATTTATATGGTGAATCATGTTCGTAGTAAACAACTATACCCTAATTGAAAATATGGACTGGTAGGAAGCCTAGTTCAAGATATTTGCATCTATCGGGATGCCTTGCAAAAGCCAGATTTTATAACCCTTTTTTAAAAGAAATTAGATTTAAGGTCTATAAGTTGTTACTTTTAAGTTTTCACGATTTATGGAGAATCTTGTGGATGACAGGATTTAACTCAAGTTCAGTGGAAGCAGATTCACTATTTTGATTCTATATGCAGATGACATTCTACTGTCAACAGTGACATGCATATGTTGCATGAAATAAACATTTTTATCTTTGATATGAAGGACTTGGGTGCAATTTCATATGTGATTAGCATAGAAATTTATTGACACAGATCTCAAGGGATTTTGGGACGATCAAAAAAGGCATATATTGAGAGGGTGCTCAAAAGGTATAATATACATAAATGTTCAAGTATGGTACCTATTATTAAGGGTGATAAAGCCCAAAATTACAATATCTCAAAAATAACTTATAAAGGAAGAATATGAAAAATATTCCTTACGTATTAGTTGTGAGAAGTTTAATGTATGCTCAGGGCTGCACCAGTCCAAATATAGCTTTTGTGGTCCGTATATTGGCTAGATATCAGAGTAACCAACAGCTAGAACATTGGAAAGCGGCTAAGAAAATAATGACATATATGCAGGGGATAAAGAATATTATGCTCACATAAAGTAAATCTGATCATCTTGATGTGATTCGATAGTCGGTTATAGATTTTGCTACTTATCCAGATGATAGGAAGTCGACATCAGGTTATATCTTCATGATGGCTGATGGGGCCATTCCATGGTAGACTTGTCGATTACGGTAGCAAAATTTGTCTTAAGCAAGCTTTGTAGTTGCAAAATTGTATCTCAAAGCTTCGAGTTGTAGATTTTATTTCCAAGCCATAGAGATTTTTTTGTGATGATTTCGCTACACTTTTCTTCTCTTAAAATAACAAGAGCTTGGACTTATCCAAGCAAATATAAATTAAATATCTTGTTGTATGGGAGAAGGTAAGGGTACTTGTAATTTCCATTGAGCACGTCAGTATAAAACTGATGATCATTGTTACTGACTAAGGTTTGAGTCCCAAATGGTTTGTAGAGCATGTTGCTCATATGGATTTAACTAACATGTGGGATGCATTTGGTCAGTGGGAGTTATATTGCTAGCACATAGTATGTGACACTCATTAAGTTTGATTTATGCATATTGGATTCTTCAAAGTTCTTGTTTTATATGTATACATAAGGATCAGGATATAAAGTTTTAGACCGTTTTAAGGTGGGATATAGATTTTACCATATCATAAAGTTTTTTTCCACCATAAACGTTACATGTTGGAGACAATAGGGAGTGTTCGTGCCAATACTATAACCATGGAACGGCAATGTGTCATTTATAGAATACAATTAGCTTTCATGATTTGGTTTTAGTAGTTTCACTTGTCAAAGTCTAGATTTTGAGGGAGTATTTTGCATTTGCTTAAATTGAAGATGTATTTTTAGTTATAATTATTGTTAGCCCAAGTGGGAGAATCTTAGAAAATATCTCCAATTTGTGGTCTAACGGCAATTATATAAGGGCAATATTATCCACAATTTAAGTGTGTTGATTATCCAATATTAAGATAAGGATTAATGATAATCATCTTCTTCACTCTCTCTTAAAGATAACTACTTATGATGGGTTAGGATAAGGGAAAGAAACATAATAACG